CATTTACCAAGTTAGTTATCTCATAAAAAAGACTACAGCAAGAGAGAGAAAAAGGGAACAACAGAAAAGCATCTTACAGTCTTGCGCTCATTGTGACCGACCACACGGATGATTTCTCCTGTAGGAATAAGCTCAATCTGCAATTCCATCTTTATGAGGCTTAAGCTAGTAAATCTCTCTGCTCTATACAGACAGTTCCAATGTCAAAGCACCGCAGCAGAATTCAGAGTAGCTGGGAGAGCCTCTCACTTGGTGCAATCCCTGGTTCCGAGCCCTGTTGTGAGAGGAAGAGCCTAACCCCTGTATTTATACTAAGTGCAAGTGTGAGCTGGAACAACAATTAAGTTCAAGAACCAGTTTCCACCAGCTACAATGTGTCAAGACGGTTCCAAGAAACCTAAATTTATGTTTGTGTTTATTGATGTAAAATTCTGTTCATGTTCCATTTTAGTCCCGGTGGACTCAGGAAAGTCAAGCCGCTGCGGATGCCGTTTCATAGGTATTAGCACGGAAGACCCTTTGGGTAAACTACAAATCTACCCACAGGTTTTATGTGGGAAAAGTTCCTCATCTTGCACTCCAATGCATTTTGTTTAAAGAGGAAGAGCAATAAAAAAACCCCACCATTTGCTCGCATGGTAACTACAGGAAGTTCTTCAAAGCCCAGTAGAGATAAAAGTAGCTAAAGTAGCTTGAGTAGCTAAACAGTGGAAAAAAATTAATTAACCTGCACTGTACAAGATTTCCTACGATGGACATGACAGGAAGAACTAGCAAATGGTGGTTTAAGGGCTACTGAGGAGCTTTACTATAGTCCAATCATCCATTAAAGTGGATCCTTTGTGTGTTCAGCCATTTACCGTGGTTGAACGGAGCAGCCACACACAGAATATCTTACTCCGTAGGACCATTTACTACAAAACTCTTATGTCTGAAGAAACAGAGTTAAAGAATAAGAAGATGAAATAGCCAACTGGCCTCAAAAACTTCCATCTTTTCACAAAATATTTTTCCATTCTCTTTTAAGCCTGGTATAAGTGGAAAAAAAGTAGGTACAAGAAAACAAGAGTATTCCACATCTAAAGGACAAGTTATAAAGTCGTTAATAATGTTGGTATTTACATAATGGTGAGTACAAAGAACCCTTGGAGATCATATTTGAATAATGAATTCCCTGTATCCAAGGATAGAAAGGATCATTGGATATATTCCTGGTAGTAATGCAGACTTCTCCAAAAAAAAGGTATCATTTCCTCCCTCAAGGAAAACCTAATTCCAGCTTTGTTGGACTGGCCTTTCCACTGCAATATATTAAAGTAAGTTCATCTGAGTGTCACTTAGCGTCCAAGAACAGAGAAGGAAGTAGTGGTAGTAGAAACAATAGTCTTTATCAAAGTGTATTTTTAGGGTCTAGCAAACACGCAAGAGATCTTGGAAATATTTCCTGTTTACACAGAGCTGTACTATCTATGTGCAGAGATACATTACATGTCCTGCAGTTAGCTAGGAATCAGAAATATCCCATATGGAAGTTAAATACAGCTATATTAGCTAACATCCCTTGGTAGACATCTTTCCTATTTTAAAATAAATCATGAGCAACAGCAAGGAATTATGAGGACTTACACTTAGATGAAAGCCAATTGATACAAAAGTTATATAAAACAAAAATATTAAAAATATGTACTGTAACAGACCTTTCAAAAAGACAAGAAAATTTCAGGGCATGTAACCCATGAAAAAGTGTATTTGGAAGAACCTGCTTTTAAAAATAAATTTTTAAAACGTAATTTAGATGATTTAAGTGTTTTTACAAGGAAAATACCAAAACCTCAACCGAATGAAAACCTCAGTAAATGAGAAGGAAATCAGCAGTGCAATAGAGAAGCGAGAATGCTTTGGGAAAGGGAAATATTAGTTAGTACCTCCTTCTTGCATGGGAAAAGGCTCAATCCCCTGCAATAAAGTGCTTGTCCAGTTCAAAAATTTAAATTTCCTACAGGAAGAAAAAGGGCACTCCAGAATTCCATATTATTGAAGTATCTTTTGCAGTGGAGGGAGGAGGCGATAGGAGCTATTTATTCCCAACAACCTAAACACACTATTATTTTGGTGTATTCAGACATATTTTCTTAAGGAAAAAAAACTCAAAACCAAAGTTTATGATATCACTCAGGTTCATTAAATGCTAAAGTCATTTAAATGAAAGACTTCTATTTGTTCAAAAGAAAATCTATTTTGTATTTGGCCCGTGTTTTTCAATCCAAAGCCCTACGAGATATATTACTACTGTTTTGTATTTTAGAATGCAAATATATCTTCATTTTAAAAATACCAGAATTAAATGGAGAATTGCTACCACGCGTGGGATGAATCTCCCCCCTCTTGTCCCCAGTACATTTTTCCTCAGATTAATAGAAGCATTTAGAACAGTTCACTGTCAGGATTTATTTCGGTGGTACATGAAAAGAAAAAAACATGGGAATAAAAACATTTCCAGTGATTATAACACATAATTAAAGGTTTTTTAAGAGAGAGAAATTTCATCAGAAATTACATTTTAACAGGTCATGGAATACTTTGAAAAGCTACCATAGGTAACAGTAGTAAACAATATTTAAGAGTGCTACTGTGTGCACAGGATGAAAGAAGGGAGCTACAGTTTTGTGCAGTGTCTTACTTACACACAGGCAGGTTTAATCACAGCTGCTGTGGGCATTTTCAGTGAAGTCCTGTGGTGCAAAGGATTAGTTTACAAAATGCAGCTTCTCTCTCCAGGGCCTGAGAAGGTTCTCGGTTCCCATGCAACATTAAGGAGCTTAAGTTTCTTGCCCATGTGAAGTGCCCCTGCATGGCTGTGTGGCTCCCCCTCTGAGCTGTTCCTGAATGGCAGATGCACCCTGATTAGAAGAAACTGGATCTTGGTCCATAGTAAGTCACCAGCTGCAGTCTGGAATTCAGAGACCACAATTCTTTCAGCTTTGAGCCCTCCGCTGGAATCTCCTTGCATGGAACACGGTAATACAATCACACAAGTAATAGCAGAAGCAGAGCAAGAACTCAAAAACTGCAGGTTATTTGAAGTTTAGGAGGGATTTGTCTGAAGATGTAAATGCCATGGAAAGTGAAGTATTTGAAAGCTTTAGTACGAAACAAAGCCTTGCAAGGTTGGTACAAACATGAAAAAGGTTTTCAATATTGCTTCAAAGTGTAGTAAGACTGTACTAGCTGTCAGCATCAAGCTAGATTGAATCCGTGCACTGAACAAAGTACCCCCTAAATCTTCCATCACTATAGACAACCAGAAACAATTCTCAATACCAAACATTAGGCTAAGATAAACTAAACTTTACAGGCTAAGTGCTCTTAAACTCGACACTGCAACAAAACTAACCAATTTGTACACAGTGCAAACCCTAAGAGAGCTGAAGACTCTTAGACCCCAGAAAGCTACCTAAAACTGGTATCACAGAGTGCTCGCTTTCTCTTTCCAAAAATCCTAACTAAAAGAACAACCAACTCTGAGAACGTGAGTAAAAAGGAACCCATTCAGTCCTCAAGCAACACTCCAAAACTTTCTCTTTCCAAAGATCCTAACTAAAAGAACAACACTGAGAACGTGAGTAAAAAGGAATCCATTCAGTCCTCAAGCAACACTCCAAAACAACACCTACATTCTCTGCTTCTCTCTCCCATTTGAACTGAATTTTCTCTTTTCCATTCAAGCCTACAGTACAGTGATTAGTAACTAAACCTACTTAACCACGCATGCTAGGCAGTTGAAAGCTGTATCTAGAACATGGGAGATTAAGCAGTGCTTTTGGTTGGCACCGCAGTCTGTGATTCTGTCAGAGCTACTTCCAAGCCTTTTTAAAGATCTCTACTTCCTCATCAAACAAACCCATTTCTAAAGCCAACCATTTTTTTTTTAAGTTATTAGATCTATCTTTCTCATTCTACCTCCACTCCCAAATGTACAAGATACATTTAAGCAGAAGCACCTCTGGAAAATCAGAAATTTTGCAGACTGGTTACTATAAACTGAAGAGCCTTACAGTTTTTGGTAGCATGGGTTATGCCATAAGAAAGAGCTTGTTTCGTTTAAATTCTCTATTTATAAATCATGTGGTCTCTGCAGTAAGCGTAGCAATTATTCATGTGGCAAAATGCCATAACAGAAGTAACTTAAATACGGCTTTAACTTTCTAAATACAGCATGAGAGCGGAAAACAATGATACTACCATCATCTAGCTCTTCATCAAATGCCTCCTGAACTTCTCTGCCCACCTACACTAAATCATTTCTTTCTATAAGATATATCTTTCTGAAAGGTGTGATCTTAGTTTAACTCCAAATCATTGAGTAGTGTGTGTTTATCTTACCTTTAATCAAGGGGAGAAAGGGAATAGACAAATTGTTATATAAATTGCTTTATAAAAGAAGAATTTAAAAAAACAGAAAAAGTGCATTTGGATTGATATATCACTATATATCAATTGCTGAATTGATAAATCAATTCTGGAAGAATTACAGATGGAAAATCCTGCAAGAATTATAAGTGAGAAGGCAGAAGAAAAAGAAATCTATTACCAAAGGAGAATTTACATGCTCTAAAAACATTGTTTTCATGTGACCTGTTGTCACATGGAACGTGACATGTGACGTGTTTCCCAAAAGGTTACAAATTAGCTTACATTTAAAAGTCAAACAAAAGATTAAAATATGCTAGATAACTGTATCTAATAAATAGTTTTTAAAATAACTTCAGATAAACTCAAATATCAGCAATTAAGTGATTACAACTCTGAACTGTAACACTAATAAAATATCCTCTGGAAAAAAAGAAAAAGAGTAGGTCCAAAATCTGTTATGGAATGCAACTTACTTAAGTTGAGTTATTGGATTACAAATGTCTGTTTGTTAGGTACTATTTTTACAGTTCGCATCCAGTGCAACATCAGAGTTACTCTCATTGTAACAATAAAATACTTGTTTCCACACAATACATTATCTTCTATGAGCTTATAAAGTTTCTCGGCAGCCCTACCTGTAGGACCCTTGCACTACCTCACTCCATCTTCTAAGTAGAAATGCCTATAATTACTAAGAAAAAGAAGGCAGTCATCTCTGACTCCTGAATCAGGACTAATAAACGCCTTTTCCGACTTCAAAATTCGTTATGTGATTCCAGATTGTCAGGTTTCCGCATCCAAACGATCTCCTCCTGTGCCAGATCCTTTTCTGTTAATGTTCTGTTTGGCTGAATCTAGAAGAAATTAAGTTGAAAAAGTGTCAAATATAGCACAAACATTCAGAACACTGCATTTGCTCTATGCTGTCAGCACACCATTAGATAAAGATGTCCTTCATACTCTAAGAAAACATACACTAAGAAAATCGGTATCTCTACGCAGCAATTATGATGCTTAAAAAAATTCTATTAAAAAAACATCAAATTCTGATATTAACTGTTATGGAAAAAGAAAGGCATTCCAAATGACTAACGAGATTTCTCATATTCCTATAGTGCACTGTATCCACATACCACTGACAACTATGCTCCAATGTTTGTGGGACATCTTATGCTTGGAGACAGCTGAAACACTGGACTCTGCATTTTTTTTTTTTTTAATGCATTAAGTATGTAGAGTAACAGGGAGTTTTACTGGCCTAGTAATCTTCAGTACTTTAATAGATTTTGAGAATCTCCTAAAACCCCTTTACTCAAGAACAGCAAGGAATTTGCATTTCAATTAATCTAGCACACATTAGGACAGTCATGGCAGCAATGAAAATTATGCATACACATTAAAAAAAAGATTTTGGCAAAAAGTGCTTAGGTAAAAGCAGCAATGACTGGTCACTTCACTGGTTTGTCTGATTAAGTTATCCTTAAAAAACAAACAAACAAACAAAAAAAAACGATACACACACAAAAAAAACAATAATGCCAACTTGAGTTTCAGCTGTCCCCTCTTTCTCAAATTTAAACATCTAAACATACAGGAAGCACTTCTGTGCGAATCTACCACAGGAGGGAGCAGAAAGGGTTCATTTATGATCTGTAAAGATAGCAACTTAGTCAAAAAAGCTGCCAACTTTTTGACAGAAATTGACAGAGATTGAAGTTCTAAAAACGAAAGCTAAGAGAAATGAACCTGCCTTATTTCATTATGACAAAGCGTTGCTGTAACAGCTGCTTTTAGCTATCAGCGATTTTTTAACTGGATGTTAAAAAACACATACACTTCTTGCTATTACTGCTGTAACCTTCCCCAGTATTAACAAAATTGCACACACCCATGTTCAGATGCATATGAAAGCAAAGTAAATAAAAGTACCATTAAACAAAGCTTCCAAATATATTACCTGAAAAGGCTGGCTGATACCAACTATTGACTGCATATTATTGCTGTAATAACAAAGCACAAATTCTCCTCCCATATTAGGTATTTCTTCGGCATTCATGTAAACCTGCAACAAGAAAAAGAAATATAGGCAAGGGATTACTTTTACAGAGAAAGCAAGTTACAAAAAAACATTCATTCACGGCCATAATGCCGTATGCACCATAAATGCAGAATTTACAAATAAGTCATTTTTTAAACATAATTTTAAAAGGAAAAGGACAAATGCAATGTTACTGCTTCACTCACATCTCAGGGAAACACCCATCCCTAGAAATGTCCTTAAAAACTTGAGGATAAGGCTGCACACTCTGGCTGAGCCAACTTACCAGCTTGCTACTTTAGAAAGGGGGTATTTCTTTGTAACCCCCTTCCATGCATGCTGGAGATCAGATGACTCCTCAGAAAACCACCCAGACAGACTTATTGTAGAATACTGGCCGTGTGTTGTGTGCAAGTGTGCACACATGCATGCTATTTTTTTCCTGTTTAATTGAGAAGTTGACACAAAGAGACAGATGGACCTATACATAGGGGAGGGCAACTGATAACAACCCATTCAACTATCTGAAAACTAAGCCAGGGATGGAAGAGCAAGTATTTTTCACCACGTTAGCAAGCTGAATTTGTTCAGCAAGAAGTGAGAAAAAAGCCACAGTTGTTCCAGGGAAACAGCAAGATAAAACAAGGAAGACAGAGGGAGCTGAACTGCCTCCTGGTGGCAGTAACTGTTAGATTAAGAGTTAGCAAAACTAACCTGTGTTTTGTACTACCCTAAAAACCCAGTTCCTAGACGGCTGTCCAGAAATCTCTTTCTAAAACATCATTCGTAGTGCTTAAAGTTCAGAGATATTTTGAGGTTAAGCATATTCATAAAAGACATTTGTGACTAGTTATAAACCTTTTAACTTATACAATCCATAACAAGAGATATTGCTTTCTTTCAAAAGACAGTCTGGAAAATCTCATCTTCATCTATTCCTCCACTGACTTGGGCTCCAAATTTAACTTAAGCAATTTCAACTTCTGCTTGTTTAGATAAACACTTCTGGAAATATTTCATTTGCAAATATTTCACTTGCAATCAAAATAAGGATAAAAGTTGCTTGAGTTATTTTTTTTTGAATTGCTTTAGTTAATCCCTACTAGAAAGGAACAAATCCTAAAGGAAAAATAGCAAGGTGAATTATAAACAGCAGTATCATTCCCATTTAGGTAGAAAAAAGGAGGGATACAGAACCAGAGCATGAAGTGAAAATGGAACAAATAGATCCCTGAATGCTACTATTTAAGTAATTATAATTGGCTTACTTGTTTGCTGTCATTGTTAGAAGAAATTTCATCATCTTTTACCCAAGCATAAGTGACATAGTCATTCACATGCTTGAATGTCACCTGCAAAGAAAGTTGCAAACTGTCAACCTTCTGAAGGGCAAACACATACTAAATGGAAAACTCAAAACTGTTAGAGACATATTTCCTACTTCACTGAAGGTCTAATTTTTAAAATCAAAACAATTTGGGGGCATGTGTGAACCTTTAGTATCTGAAAGGATGTGAATACTCTGTTCTTTAATCCTTCTACTGACCTCCTTTTATTTTTTTTCTCCTTTTGAGAACTGCAGGCATTTTGGAAGGACTATTCTTTTCCATAGCTTCTATCTACCTTTTTGCTTAAATAAATCATCAGCTGCACTTAGCAGAGCATTTTACACAGAATGAAAAGGCCTGCATCCACCTCTGCATGGAGTTAAACTCTCAGCACACAAAACTATCAGCTATCAAGGATACAAGAAAATATGCCATAGAAAATACTTCTTCCTGTCACATTCACCATCTACATTCCAGTAAGGAGCTACGATGTAGTGGTAATATCACCTTGAAAAGTCCAATCCAGTCCCAAGTACTGCTTGGGAACTCAGGCACTGCAGAATAGCTGATTATAACATCATGTTCAGCACTCCACTCACCCTCAGGTTTCAGTATGACAGAAGGAATTGATAAAAGAGGCTTCATCTAGAACAAAAACCAAGATTTACAGTAAACCAACTCTTATTCTTTCAGTTACTCTTACAAATACTTACAAAGTTTAGAGAAATATGGCTTAAATAAACAAGCTAGTTTTAAAGAGTTAAAGCAGACAGCACCTCAAGCCCAAAAGTTCCTGTAACAGGTTTGTGATCACTGATGCCATAGCCCATGTGGCTGATATAGTTATTCAAAGTAACAGATATTGTCTGTTCTTCTTCAGATAATTCACTTTCTTTTGATGTATGCTGGCAGAGATTCTTCACTCTCCAAAGAACTCTATCAGTCCAAGCTGGCTTTCTTTTCTTCTCACTGTAAGAGCACAAGATAGAAGTGAAATGAGCAGAAAAAGAGGGGCTGCCAAAAAGCTAAGAACACTGTGTAAAAACTACTCAAAGTTAAGATTCTCAAGTACATGAATTAATATTAGAAAGCAATCACATTCAAACTTCATTTTACAGCTCTTTACCATGCTCTACAACCAAGGTTTCCTTAATTTGAACTCAGCTCCATTTACAGGAGGTAAGTTTCACAGATTTCTGAAAGAGAGGAGTAAAATGAAGGGAAGAAGGAGCATTCCCATGGGTTAGTCAAGTTTTCTACAGGAAATGATACTTTCTCCTAAAATGCACTATAAAAACATGCAAGGACATTGAGATAATACAGGATCTGCCTCAGACTTCGAATGCTGTCATTCTCAGAAAAGGGACATAACTTTTAAGGAGGATGCAGAGTTTGAATGATATTTATTTCCTTATTCAAAACTTTTTTTAGAACAAATTGTTTTCAATAACTAAAATTGGGCAAACTTATGTAGCTTATACTAATCAGAGATGACACAGCAATGTTTTATCTAAAACTCCTCAAATCTGTAGCATAGAAACTACTATTGCCTCATAGGAAAAGGCTGTCAATCCCATAATGAAGAAAACATCTGTAGCCTGCAACTGTGCTATACATCAAACTGCAATCATAATTCAGAGTTTCCTTTTATACCATATCAATAACAACAGAAGACATGAGCCTTTCGTGGTTCTCTCTGTAGTGGGAGGAAGGCTTAACAGCAACCCTCTGTATGGATGTATCACTTCAAATTGAAATGGAGAAAAGATCATACCCTATGGAAGAGGAATTAGAATGGACTGGATTGAATTATAAAGGTTAATGAGCAGGATGTGTAAGGAAAACTGTCAGTTTAGTAACTTCGAATATCAAAATCATCATAATCTGGAAATGTCATTTAGTTTAATGTTCAACATGCTTTTTCTTTTACCCCTTCCCATATATAGGTCTGACTCACCTATAATAAGGTGGAAAGATTTTAAATGTGAGGGGCCATATCCCACTTACTTCAGTAATTATATAAACCGACAGATATCTTTATGAGCTGCCATATGTCTGCTCTGCTGTGCAAGAAAATACCAAAAGAACAGCTTAAGTTAATACACGTGCTACTTCAGAGAAAATGGTGCATAAGATGGGAAAGAAAAACCTCAAAGCCAAACTGGAAAAAAAAAGCATCAAAGATCACAAATTACTATGGACTTCATTTAAAGCAAACTTGGCAAGGATGCTTAGAAGACCCAAGTGCCTTGAAGTCACCCTCCAAACAACTAAATCACCTCTGCTAGCTTTAAAATCAGGATGCATATAGCATACATAAGTGTACTCTTTGTTTATTTGTAAACTGGATTTATGTTACTCCCTTTTTATCTGTTCACACTCAGACAGCAAAAAGTCTTTGGATACGAATGAGTGGATTTCTAATCTTCAGTGCAACAGCAGAGGAGATCACACTGCAGCTTTCAGACAGGTTGAAAAAAAATCCCTGAAGAAAATCAGCTATTATCTGATTTTCATATATTTTCACAAAAATCAAATCCAAAGCTCAGGAGGTGCATTGTTTTGATTCAGAAATATTTACAAATCTATGAAATGCAGAAAATTCTCTTCTTACTTAAACCAAAACAGGGACTTCTGTTCTCTGGAAATAAAGAAAAAGATCAGTACAAAACCCCTGTTTGGCCAGGAGCTTATTCTTCCATTGAAACATTATTAATACTTAACAATAACTTTACAGTCAGAGCAAAACATAACTCAGATATTAGGAGGAAAAAAAAAAAAGAAAAATGAACTACTTTGCTTCAACAAGTGCTATCTTACTCTGTGAAACTATTCTTTCCAAATAAGAATAAATAAACAAAACAGGTGTGATGATTCAGCCACTCCTACTTTCCTCACACAATCAGCAGAAACATTCATTTATTTGAGCCTGAATAAGAGTTCAGCAGCCTTAGTTAACTTGTAAATTAAGGAAAGCTTAGGTTTGCTATGCAAAGTGATATTTACTTTAGCACCAAGTTCAAACTAATATCTCATGTCTTAAACACATCTTACTGCACTTTTACCTTGTATCATATACATCTGAATAAAGGTCAAACTTGTAGGTGGGTTTAAACTGCAGAGGACCCTCTATGAAATCCTGAAGAAATGCTTCCTTCTTCTTTGCCATATTTAACTGCAAAAATAATGTTTATATAAAGAATAGCTTTTGAAAGTAGGATTTACATAACAAAGCCTGAAGAATATTCAGGAAAGGAATTCAGAGAGCACATTCCAAATAGAATCCAACCTTTCAGTAAGTACAACATATCAAAAAATTTCAGAAGGTCCCTTTGCTATTGCCAGACAGTTGACATGACCAGTGCAGAAGCTCTGTAGCAGTTCTACACAAAACAAATTCCAGCATCAGCTTATCTTTTAAAAACTAATTATTAGATGAAGAAAAATGAGACTAAATCACAGCATGGAACGTGAGCCATGAAGCCCACTGAAAGCTTCAGTCATACATGAGCACTTGAAATTACTATGAAACTAAAAAAAAGGGTAAGTTTGCAATTAATTACAAAGTTGCTTTTGATGAAGAAGTTTGAGAACAGTTAGATCTGTTCCAGCTCAAAACTACTCTGAATCTGTTTTTCTTAAATGGGAAAGAGAAATACAAGAGACACTGTTCACTTAGGTGTTGTGTTTGTATTCAAAAAGACAAGAAAAGTCAACGTACCTGGTCCTTTTCCCACAGTAGATTGTAACGTCTGTTATTTATCGATTCTCGAACAAAATGTATGCCATAATCTGCTATTCGAAAATTCAGATCTCCAAACCAGAAGAGAAAGCTTACAAAAAAAAAAAAAAAAAAAAAACAAATATGTATAGCTTTACAGGACTACATTAGTGGTGCCAAATTAAGCATCACAGTTTAAGTCAGGCATCAAAAGTAGGTGTAATTCATATAGCTATAGAAATTATCAATTAAATAAAGGCCAAGAAGCCCTCGACCAGACACTAAAATTTCAACAGGCACAAAAATGGTTCAAAACGCCACACAGATCTTTATACAAATACATGGAGGAAGAAAACAACTCCCAACAATCAGAAAGATTTTGCATATACATGGGCTTTAGCTTCTAACAATCTTCATTTCTCCACGATATCTGCACTTTACGTGCTAACAAATTCAGTATAATCTGACATGGGAAGAGACTAGTTCTGCAAATTAGATCTCAGTCTTTCAGGTTACCATTTCCAGTCTGGTCCCCCCACATTCAGGAACCACACTGAATGAGATAAAAGTGATCTGAGAAAAGTCCGAAGTGCAGAAAGTCACAAATTTAGAGAGCACAACAGATAAAACCAATATAGATAGAGCAGGGTCGGAACAACTCACTCATGATCCAGGGTACTTGGAATATTCTCTTCTTCAAACTGCATTTCCAGAATTTTCTCAAAGTCATCCAACCGCTGCTCTGTGTTCTCCATGTGAGCTGGCAAATGGCAATTCATGAAACAAACTGTATGGCCATAGAGGGACATGCGAATGGCAACTCCTCCTTTGTTCCCCTGGTAAGGAAGGTCAACAATATTCTCTGAAACTACAATCAACACTTGCAAATTCAATTATTAACACCATCTATTAAATTTTTAGTCTTGCTATTTAGGAAGCAATTGTGTTCATTTACATCTAAATAAGCAGCATGAAAGTAACAATTTATTTCCACTAGTCAACTGTTGAAATATTACAGTCTGTGGAGCACTTGTATACAATATTCAATTAGGCAAGACTCATACGGCTTGTCAGTTTATTCACTACTAATAAGCCACACGTTCTCTCTCCCATCACAAACCCATTTAGAGGCACACACCAGCATAAACACCACATAAGCAAAGCAATCAAGGCTCAGACAGTGCTTTACCCAGTAGCCATAGAGGCCTGTGCGTGTATATTGGGTATGGATGTCCCGTATGAAAGGCAGGTGCACATGCTTCAGGAAGACCAGGAGGAGCAATCCCTGCATGCGAACAGAGGAGAGCTGGAACAGAAGCAGAAAAAGACAGGGTCACTTCCAGGGATTACAAATCTAAGGTGACCTCAACACATGGGTATTTGTTGATACAGCTCTTTACAGGCCTTTTTTTTTTCCTGCTTCACCATTCCACTGTCTCCATCTTTAAGCATTCCATTCATGAATAGACAAATCCTTGATTTTTCACCTATAATCTTAATAGTGCAAATCTACAAATCCTCCAACAACAACGACAAAAAGCTGTTCCAACCAAAGCAAACTTTATCACATAGCCAATTGTTCTGAAAACTAGTAAAAACGTATAAAAAACCCACCACAGCTACTTGTAGGCATCTGCAGAAGCTACAACTGTAAGCAGCAGCAACTCTTGCTGCAATGCCTGTAAAAGTTGATTTATTGAATGCTTCCAAAGCAAAAATGCTTAAGGAACATGTAAGACATTGTTTCTGCATTAAGATACTGGTATGTTATTCTTTGTGTGAGCAGAATTAACTCCAGATCCACAGTCCACCATAAAACCTCCCTCTGCAGGCCCTGAATATCCAAACACAATGGCAATGGATGCCTCTTTTGCTGGGACTCTTATTAATCCCACCAATATGTAAAGCCAAATCAAGGAAAGACCCTTTATGGAAAAAGCAAGACTTTGCTTATGATGAAAAGAATCTGATTGATCCCAATAACCTAATGCTTTAAGAACAGATGCTTTTAGTGAAGTAAGAAAACATCCCAAGGAGGACTACACCCAACCTCAACTACACCTCTACACCTAGCCGTGCCCAAGGTCACCACAGAACAGGAGAACAGGTAACTGCTTCTCTGTCCGATCGAGCTTATGCAAGGAGTCATGTGGAAAGCTGGCTCTTCTAGATGCCCACTTTGATTTTGACCTGGCCTGCCAGGAAAGCATGTCAATGACCTGGTTCTCCTCTTATTAGAGCTAATTAAGTCTTGCTGAAAACCATTAGGGGGCAGTATCCATTCATTAGTGCATCCTAAGCTCTGCATTAATAATTAGGAATTCAGTCAGCCACGCATACCACAGGGAATTCATTTTAACTCTAGACAGTGCTTGTATGTCATCCTGTGGCTATATTTTAAAGGTTTATCAGCAAGGACTTGCACTAAAGTGAAGTATGTTTTCTTTCATTTTTTTACATTTCCAATGGCTGTTTTATTTTATTTATCTTTATGTAGAGAGATCAGCCTGAGGGAAAAAAAATCTGAATGGAGCTGGATAAGACAATTTTCTTCACTGTTGAGACATTCAGAGGTGTAAACCGTTACCTTGATGTATCCCAGTGGTGACAGTACATTCATGAAAAAAATGCTCCAAGGATCATCAAACGCCAAGTCAGAGAGAAAATTCGTGATCCTTGAGTTCACTTCCTGTAAGCTGAACACATGAAAATTACTCACGTGAGATCATCAAGTTTTGACAGAATTCATATAACTTTATCAGAACACAAACCACAACATTCTGACAGACCCCTGTGCACATAAGCAAGAAATTTCTTAATGCTGTCCAGTTTTGCAGTTACAAGCAGTTTCACTCATCCACAGATCTAACAGAACGTGTTGACATATTCAACCAAGTTTGGAAGAGGTGACAGTTTCACTAAAAGCTGATACAAACCCAAAGGGGCACAGATTCTACCTAATTAGTTTGCACCAATTTCTTTAAAAGACACTGACTTTAGACAGCTTCTCATCAAAAATATTTAATTCCTTGTGCTTAGATAAAGAAAAGGTATTTTGTGTTTTGTCACATGAAACAACTTCAGAAGTGGGAGAAGAGTCCCTTGTCATAGATCATCTCTGTTCTTTGTCATTAACTCTAGCCTTCATCATCTACAGCGACAGTATTAAGCTCCCTCCTGGGAGATGATTCACACTGCATAGCCCTCCCCAAGCTGCTGAAATTTATAGTTTTGGAATAAAACTTATAGAGCAACTTCTTTAACATCTACTTACCCAATAACATACATATCCATTGCTGGACCCAGTGAATTGAGCTGAAGTAAACTAGTGACATCCGGCGGTGGAGAAGCTGTGCCCACATTCCAGGTAACTATGTGCAGCCTACAAATGAAGGAGAAAAAGAAGTCACACAACACCAGTGCTAGAATTTAAATACGAATAAGTAACCTGAAGAGCATCTAACCTCCCTAACCAAATTTCTGTTAATAGAACACAAGGATTTTCTGTCATTATCGGTCAATCAGAAGTTATTCCTTAGTATAAAAAATAACAATCAGCTATTGAAAACCTGAATTCTTGCCACTTGTCCTTCAGCTTCTTGCCCCAGATAAGGAAAGCTTCATCTAGCGTGCGTGCCACTTTTTCATGGATTTCATCATCTGAGCTGATGTCCTCCACACAAGCCATGAGCTGGGCTACCCGCTGCCGGAGCTGCAGGCGGCTGCTGGAGCCCGTGCTGCTGAGGCTGGCGGAGCGGCTGCGGAAGCCGTGCGGGCCCTCCAAGTCCTGCAGGGAGAGGGCTGGGGAATCCTGAAGAGCATCCTCGCTACTGAACGATGCCATCTGCTCCGGAAAGAGCAACTATATTCCAAAGGACTGATGCATTAAAATCCCGAGTATAAAACAGTGATTTGTCTTGAGGGTCTTGAAGATCAAGTTTTCACTTGCACGAAATTCAGCACTGCTTCTAACCAAACGGGACAAATGCAGATGCAGCAGTGCTGAAAAACTGCAGCGGTACCACCACATTCAAGAGCCTGTTACGAAAGCTGCACACTCTGAATCATTTTTTTCTAATAGATTTAATGTGATTAGTTCTATAAGCTTAAGTTTTAAAAGAATTTATTGTTGATGTGAATCAATCATGTGCTTCCATCCGTAGGTTAGCAGAAATATAATCTCCAGCTTCCAAGAGCACAAACACTCACTTCTGTCCAAAACCGAACCAACCAACTGCTCCGCTCGAGCTTCCAGAGTTTGCCACAGGACTTATCCACTGCTTTACGATAAATATTTTTGTCTTTTTGATTTTATTTTCTGCATCACAACTTCTAAAAACAAATCCACTTTACACATTTTGTGTGAAGGCCCTATAAGCACTGCTACACAGTTAAATAATTAATCTCTCCAATATTTCCATTATTTTTATGCTCCCTGACAATCAAGAGTCTGCTCAAGGTGACACACAAAGAACAGGAAAATGACATTGCATCCCAAACTAGTTCAGTGATTCACAATTTCCCTCAACAATTATTTTTCCTTAAAAGACTACACTGATGTTAACCAAAAGCTACCACAAACTGATCCTAAAACACATTTCTAGAAGAAGAAAGGGATGTTGCCTGCAGATCTCATTCTAGTTTCAAAGAGATGCATCACTTGGGAATTCTCTCCACTTATTAATTTCTGAACATAATTACCCAAGGAGGCAAAAGTCAAATAATATTGAAGTTAGCAGTCATTACCGATAGAAATTAAACTCCTCCAATACCTACGCTACTAACAAAAACACAGGAAAAACTACAGCACTAAAATTTACATCAGAAAAAAAAAAAAAGGAAAGAAATTCAGGAGCACCCTCAAAGTGATCATGCCTGCAGGAAAGAATTAACAGCAAGGGATGTGTGTTGTCCTGCAAAGAACATTCAGAGAGAGCATTTAGAGTCCTCGGTTTCTGTAATTACTCCAGAGCAGGGAACTTTTTTTAGGCCTGTGGAGTCATCCTAGCACAACGTCATGACCACTCGGATACCTCTAAGTAAACACGAGGTTTATTGCCCTCATTTTTATCTCTCATTACAGAAAGCTGCTCGCGCGCTGCACACACAGAGGCCTCCTCATGTCAAAGGGAGCTCGCCAGAGGGGACACCGCAGTTCATCAGCGTGGAGGAAACAACGACAAAAATAATAATAATGGGGGAGTGGAGGGGAAAGAAAAATACTAAAACCTTTGTGCTCTTCCCTCCCGGCTACGAGCAGCGAGTCGAGGCCCTGCGCTGGGCAACAGGTCTCGGGCCCCCGCGAGCCGCGCAAGCCCCCCCGGGGCGCTGCGATGGCGGCGCTTTCGCCTCAGAAAAGCGGCTTTTCCTGCCCGTTTCATGTGATCGCGTAACGCGGCCGATTAGGTCTCGCTAATTCCCCGCCGTTACGTC